CATCACCACCACCATCATCACCATCACCATCAACATTAATAGCATCATCATCTTCTTCATCAGCGTATGATATGCTATGAAGTCACATAAGATGAGTAAAGAAGTAACGTAATAAATTTACATCAAACTTACGGAATAGCTATCTCGGTGATATTGCCAATAACTTGCTGTCCCACCATGATAATGAGCAATTGAATGCACAATTCCAAGAAGCATCCCTGTTCACTGCAGCCATCCAATCGAATTCCTCCAAAGATGCGTTTACTGAGCCCGGGTGTACCCACAACAAGGTCTGACTTAAAGAAGGCAATGTAGAATATGGAGGCGTACGTGTTGACAAACTGGAAGAGGTACATCTTGTAGGTGAAGCTGTCCTCATAGTCTGTCTTAGTTCGTGGATTTTCCCAATTGGTCAGCCAAACAGCCAGTCGGATGTAAAGAAACTTTAGCAGGTTGATGCAGACCAAGTTGATGAGGGCAGCAGTGCAGGAGGTGATGATACGAGAATTCTTCCTAATGGTCAAGTTTTGGTCAGCACTCAAGGCGGCGAACACAGCACCACGATAGACAACTACACCAACAACAGCTGCGATGACAAGGAAGATCATGAAAGTAATGATACTACCAATGGCTCCATAACGTTGGTACAAGGTTCGCTTTGGTATATGAGGCTCCATCAATCCAGTCACAGGGTTCTTTCTAAGCGTTGGGGCGGTTGTGGCAAACTCTGGACGAATCTGTTCCTCCTCCTCTTCAAAATTTGCCACGTGCCAATGGTGTGCAAGGACAGCTTGACGTCTCTTCCAAAACTCGAGAAATAAAGTAGCCCACACTGAAAACAAAAGTTAAGAGCTTGCTGAGCGTTGCAGTTCACAAAAAAGGGAGGCAATAAAAGAGATGAGGAGAGGAAAAGTTCGAGTGAGCCTCCTTGATGATCCTCTGCTCTTGAGGCAAACAAAAGAATATAAGAGACTTAAATAAATATTTAAAAAAGCTACAAAACAATTCCTGGACCTTCCTGGACCTTACCTGATGTAAAAATGGCCAGAAATACGGTGCCATCGTTGTCGAAGAAGTTCGTTACATAAGCATAAGCACAGGAAGTCGTCACTAGGTCCCAGTACGAACACTGACGATCACAAAGGTTACACATGTAAAAGTAACCCTTCAAAGAATCATTACACGAATCCACGACAGGAGGACTTGAGCCCGCGGAAGCAATCCCATAAATAAAGACCAGCAGACCAACAATGGACAGCGGCACTAACATGGCGGTGTAAAATCCAAGCCATGCGAAGTAAAGTGCGATAGCAGTGCCAAAGTAATCCTTGATGGTATCATAGGGTTGGTACTTGAACATTCTCTTCAGGGGACTCCATTCCATTTTCAGCCTTTGGCGATCGTTATCAGGCAAGCGTCCGTCTTTGACGTCATCATCGCCATCATGAAGAGGGTATGCAGCCACATAGGCACCTGGCAACACAAATATTTACATTACAATCTTGGACGATTTCATTTTAAAATGTGGAAGACAAATCAAAAGGCGAATACAAGAAAATATTAATGAAACTGACTATGCTCAAAAATTGTTGTCGCGGTGGTGGTTCTTGTTGTTGTAGTGGAGGCCTATGGTTGTAGTTAATATGGTGGTTGTCGTTAGAGTGCACGTGGCAGTGGTGTTGGTGAGCTTTGGTGGTGGTGGTGGCAATGGCGATGGTTATTGTTGTGGTTATTGTGGTTGTTGTTGTTGGTCACGGCTGGCGGTGGTATTGCTAATGAAGAAATAGAAAACACGCACGCGTGCTGTGTGCAGTTATAAAGCACACGGGGGTYGGCAGAACACGAGAGAAGTGTTAGGAGAAGCACGCACGCGTAGCGGAGTGCTTCTCAACACTTCTCGAGTGTTCTGCCAATCCCCAAGTGCTTCATAACTGCATACAGCACAGCAAGCAAGTTTTTTATTTCTTTCATAAAATACAAATTGCATAAATGACGAAACTAAAAGTGCGCGCGCGTGCTGCGTGCTCTCATAAAGCACGCGCTCCCAACCAATCAGAATGCGAGATTTAGAGCAGTTATTTTATAATAGATTTTCCTGTTATCGTCACTATTGTTGTTTACCTTGATAGAGAAGGTGTTTGAGCCCAACTCCCTTGGGTCCCTCGGCAAAGCGTGTTGTGAAGCATRTCCTCTGCACTGCATACTGACGATCTAACGTTGAAAACATCTTTTCATTTTCACTAGAGCCAAGATACTTATCGTGTTTTCTTTGCTTGTAGTAAGCCTTGAAATAGGTGGGTTTTTCTGTTATCACGCTGTCCTTGATTGTAAGAGGATTCAGACGACGAATACCATTCATTATGCGTTTACCTGTCAGTACAAATAACATTAGTTTTACTGTTTGACAGGTACAGTGCATAAAGTGGATTAGTATATACTATCTAGATCAGCAAGAGAAAAACCAAGGGAAAAATTGCTCTACTCGCAATAAAAACTTCAGTTTATGTGGACATAAACTTTTTTTCCTGGTTCAAACATTCCATTCTTACATAAACTTGAACTGACTCTCATTCGAACACTTTCTGTTGCACTTTGAAAATAGTATCAACGACATCGCTTTTTATTGTTAAATGTATAACGAAAGTTTCCTTTTGCAAGATCCAAACATTTAAATGATATACAATATATTGTTTGACTCTGATACACCGATAACGCCATTCCTTCGCGCGAGCTATACCGGTACGTTAAAAAATTATGCTCAAAGAAATGAAAAGAATTAATATGGTTTAAAATGTTAAAAAAAAACATGATGCCAAAGTAAAAGCAGATTATCAAGAAAGGCCGTGTTATTTAATGGCAAGAATGGTTTGAAATTGAAAAACATTTTATCCATTGAAAGAAAAAAGGTACTATTGAGAAGGGCCACGCTATTTAGCCAATCTTTCCATACTTTAAAAACATTAGCTAAGTATTTTTTTGTGGGATATCAGTAGCTCGACGCTTGCAAATAACTGTGGTTATGATTTCTCTTCAGCTCAGCAATCCTCCAAATAAAACAAAGATGCTGCATCAAGTTAGCGCATGCGCAAATGATCAAACAATAATATTGTGTTCACCTAAGACTCTCTCGCCCCAGCACTTGACTTGGATATCGCTTTTCATCAGGGGAGCCTTCAGCATAATTTCTTCAGCTTTCTTAGACAAGGTTTTCCATGGAATGTGCAGCTTGACAAATGTCCTGTGAACTTCCTTGTTCTTTACCACCAAAAACACACACAAACTAAGTAAGTTATCTATTTAACAATGAGACCCGAACCCCGAATAGACTTTAAACCGGGGGGACATCTATATTTTAGGGTATCCAAAAAAGTAAAAGCCCACATCGCGTTTTGTTGTATATTTTGGGGGTAAAAGTCGCTCAGTCACGCCATACTAAAACGACTTTTGGTATCTTTTGGGGTATTTTTGAAACTTTCCAGAACGAGCAAACCCGATACCTCTACCCCCGAGGAACTCTATTTATTTGTCAGTATAAATAAGGGCAGCAGGCTGTTAATATAACATAAAAACCAACAATCAATATTGAACGAATAATTAGCAATTAGTCCTCGAGCCCGAATGGGCTATTAACTCATAGGCCTTGAGGACGAGAGGACTAATTGTTTTAGTCAAATTTAATTAGTTGGTCGAAGATTCATAGATGCAATCAAGTTTTAAACTAAAGTTTTTTTTTGTTTTGTTTTTTTCTTTCAAAGTTGCGCACTTTTCGCTATTAGTAGGCTATGACTTATAGCCTAATATAGTAGCTCATCCAATCAGAATGCAGCATAAATAGACTGCTAGTTGGATTTGACTAATAGTATATAGATCTCTTGTTTGTTTATTAGCAAAGAGACCAGCCTTAATGATTGCAGTAAGGTATATATTACTTAGTAAGGGTAACTCTCGTATTATTATTTGATTTACTATTTAGCTCTATTTATCGACTTAAGGCTTCTAATGGAATGCCTATTTTTGCTGCACTTTTATCCTTACATGCAGTGAGCGTGAGATTCCTCTATTATCCCGGGAAAAGTCAAATAAACTTAAAGCGTTAGTTTATGGAATAATGCATTATTGATTCGTGGTGAAAAAATCGTATTAACATCTTCTTTTAATGTGTTCTCGCTGTCTACTGTAGTGTCCACCTGATTAGAAAAAGTAATAAGATGTGTGCTGCCGGTTTACAAGTCTAACTTATGAATCAAGTAACGATCAATGGAATACAAGATGTCTTCCAAGAGACTTTGTAATTCTAGGCTGAAACATATCCGTTAAATATAGTATTGGCTTCTAATAGTCGTATGGTGCTTCATGTATGTACGAATACGTGGTCACCAAATGAATTTATGGGTATAGGAATAAAATAAAGTACCATACATGACGTTCCTACCTTTCGGCAATAATAAGAATATGTTGGTAGGATTGCTATTCAGTTCACTGCTCAACAACGTTATAATCAAATCTACAGAGCTATATCTCCTGTTCCTTTAGAAGATTAATGATATAGACCGTTTTCTCAAGGTTGCGTGCGCTTCCAAATTTAAGGAACTTGACTGGCCAAGGTACCAGAACACGAGTATTATCATACATTACAATGAATTTTTTTCGATAAGAATTCACAAAAGTGATTATTCTCCTCTTTAGATATAAAACTGTCTTCTCAATTTTACTTGCGTTTTTCAGTTTTGGGGCACGCGGTCAAGTTGGATGCGCGCGCAACCTTGAGAAAACGGTCGATATTGAACATTTTATCCCAGAGAGCCTCGGTATCGCGATATAGAACTTCAATATCTCGAATGTGGCCCACTATGTTAAAAACGTAAATGTACTAACAATATCTGTGCTGCTAGCATCGGTTTCTTTTATCTGTACTTCTGTCTGTTTTTCCTGATTTACGTCGATTTGAGAAAGAATAATTGACGATCAGAATGTCAGCATAGTCGACGTCCCTTTCACAGTTCCCTGCGCCATCTTAAAAGGTAGCCGTGCCTTTGCATCGAAGCGAGACGGACGGTGAGCTTGTAATGTTAGAGACATGTGAATAATTATCCATGTGCTAAAAAAGGTCTCTATCATTGCAAGCTGACCGTTCGTCTCGCTTCGAGGCAAAGGCATGGCTACCTTTCAAGATGGCGCAGGGAACTGTGAAAGGGATTGTTGATCAGTTTATGATTACGAAAAGAAGGCTTATGCGACTCTTCTTTTACATCCTGATAGCCATAATGTAAATGAGAGACGAATGAACAATGGAATGGCAAACAAATGAAAAAGTGAACAAGTAGAACAGAATGAATAAATATACTGAAAAAGTGAAGGAAAAAATGGGGGAACGAATCAGTGAACCAACGGATGGATGGATGGATGGATGGATGGATGGATGGATGGATGGATGGATGGGTGG